AAATTTTTCCTAATTTCCAGCCTAACCCTGCCCTGACACAGCTTGAGCCCATTTCCTCTCGTCCTATCGCTAACTACATGGGAGAAGAGACCAACACCCACCTCACTACAACCTCCTTTCAGGTAGTTGTAGAGAGCCATAAGGTCTCCCCTCAGCCTCCTCTTCTCCAGGCTAAACAACCCCAGTTCCCTCAGCCGCTCCTCATAAGGCCTGTGCTCCAGACCCTTCACCAGCTTCGCTGCCCTTCTCTAGATCCTCCCCAGCAACTCAATGTCCTTCTTGTACTGAGGGGCCCAAAACTGGACACAGTATTCAAGGTGCAGCCTCACCAGTGCTGAGTACAGGGGAACAATCACCTCCCTGCTTCTGCTGGCCACACTATTCCTCATACAAGCCAGGATGCTGTTGGCCTTCTTGGCCACCTGCGCACACTGCTGGCTCATGTTCAGCCCGCTGTCAACCAACACCCCCAGGTCCTTTTCGGCCAGGCAGCTTTCGAGCCACTCTTCCCCAAGCCTGTAGCGTTGCATGGGGTTGTTGTGACCCAAGTGCAGGACCCAGAACTTAGCCTTGTTGAACCTAATGTTAATATTGAGAACTCTTCTTCTTTAATGAGGTCTTTAGCTACACATCACACTTGCATGCTCTCCCTCTTAACTCTACTATCAGAAAGTCTTTCATATACTTACCATTTTTCTGAGATAAGAAATTAATTTTGCATATTGCAGGTGCAGAAAGGGATAAAGAAGTCAAAAGGTGTGTTTCCAATCTACAATAACAACTTCATGCAGAGAAGGTAGCTTTGAAGGAAACAGCTCCAAATACCACGTTACCGAAAGTCATATTACTGAATCACCATCACTACTTTGTTGCTAGTCAGAAGCAACAAAAAGTAAGTCTGACAGACCACTGCAGCGATACAACTATATTGCTCTTGAGCAAATCCAGCGCTACCATGTAGTACCGTTCCACTGGATATACCAGCTCACACAACTTTAACACGGGTCTGTGTTGAACGATGTTGGTGTGCCCCAAGTGACCTAGCTGAGATCAGTGTTCTTCTAGTATCATTCAAGTTGCTGACCCCTAAGTATTATTTGTGGAGATGCAGAGTCCTTCATGCATAACCATGGACATGGTGGTGTCTTAGGTACTTTCACAGAACTCGGAAATATTTCATGAACCCTCAAGAGTCTGTGATGCACAAGCTGAAAACCAAGCTTGGGGCTTTCAAGTCTCAGAGAAAATTATTAACCAAAAGTCCACCCTTCCTCTTTGCTCCAGGGAGACTTGGGGAGAAACAGATCAAGTTTTATCTCAGTTGTGAACCAGAAAGAGAGCAAATGTTTAGGGACAAAACTTATTACACCCTACAAAAAAAAAAATTAAATCTTGGAAACCAATAAATATTAGGCAGCATATGTGCACTTCTAGAGAAAGAAACAGCAAGCAGGTAAAAGGGACATGCAGAACTCCTACATACATCTGGGTCACCCTAGAAACATGCACAGACAGGAGGAGGCAACCACTGCCAGAGTGAAAGAGGATCCACAATTCAGACAGAGGCTTATGAAACCACAGGATTTGGCAACAAAACATGTAATTAATTCACATTGACTATTCAGTTGACCTTCTGTTTAAGACCATGCAAAATATGAAGCCTTGTCTTCATAACTCTCCATGCTATATGTTAATACACAAAAAATGTCTGTGCATGGCTGTGGCTGCACACCATACACGCATGTCTACTAAATCATGAAAAAAGTCATTAAAACTCCGTAAGACTGCTCAGGTCATAAATTATTCTTCCAGGTGATTATAAAATATGTGAAACAAGTAGTATTAAACAGTAGCAATCTACTCCTCAGTCTTCAGCCACTGTCCCAAATAGTTAGAAAAACAATTGATTTCTGCTTTTGGACAAATCTTGTAAAGCATGGAATGGTTTGAACAGAAGTAGGGCAGAAAGGACTTGCAAGCTCCTGAATTTACGTATAATCTGAAAAGACCAGCCACATATAAAAAGATTATAGAATCACAGAATTGTTTAAGTTGGAAAAGACCTTTGGGATCATCAAGTCCAACTGTTAACCTAACACTACCAAGTCCACCACTAAACCATGTCCCTAAGTGCCATATCTACACGTCTTTTAGATACCTCCAGGGATGGTGACCTTCTGGACCCAACAACAATCATTTCTACTCCTAAACAATAATTTGTGTTCAATTTGGAATGTACCTTATAATGGCCTTCTTTAACTGCATCTTGCAATGGTGTTATTTGTTCATTTCCTCTAGCATTAACATCAGCTCCTGCTTTCAAAAGCTCATTTGCTATCCCATAAAAGCCTTCCACACTTGCTATGTGTAGTGCAGTCCAGCCTATGAAAAAGAAAAACTTGTATTTCACATTTGGGTGAAATAATTTATAAAAATTTATGTCAGTTTTAGGTTGTTTATTTGATAAATATTTCAGAGAGTATACTGAAAAGGTAAAGACTCATGCATTTCACAGTAAGTTGTATGAAGAAATGTTTATGAAAAAGTCACAAGGGTTGAAAGACCTCATTCTTTTGTCAAAATTTGCACTTACTGAAGAACCAGGTGCTGCTGTAACAATATTAGTTTTAGATTTGATAGTTCTGTTATGAAAGAAGAGAATAAAAATTATTCCACCCACACCTTAGTAATTTATCTCCAAATAAAAGGTATATGCTATTTTACAAACAAGGTAATTTTTCATGGCACTCTTACTTACATAGCCATGCTGGAGAGGGTAAGTAAGAAAGAAGAGACAAAATGAGGGCCTGGCATCTTATTGCCAAACAAAAATGTTTTTAAAGACTATTCAAGAACGGTTTGCGTTTCCAAAGAAAGCAGTAAAAACTCCTTACTGAAATTCCATATCCATTCCCAGCTATATGGAATAAACCAAGATATGAGCTTCATGACCCACAGAACAATTCTACTCCATGAAGGAGGTGTTGAAAAAAAAAAAAAAAGATGGAATGTAAGTCTTTGAAGTGGGTTAAGCATAACCTTGCATCAGCTCCTTAAACATTCATTATGTGAAAGTTTTTTATAGGGTGAGAAAAGTAAGCGAAAAAGTCAGAAGATCTGGTTCCTATCTGTAAGCTCTCAAACCAGCATGCCCTCCAGAAGACCATTTTGATGGACAGCCTTACTCTTCAACCATCTCCCACTATCAGAAGGTTGTCTGGACCTAAATCACATACTAAATATGTCAATTAGTATGTGAATTAAGCTTATTAAGACTGTTCTGCTCCCATTTAGCAAAATTATCTTAATTTCATTGGAAAGAGAAACTCTTCAGGCTTTCTTATACACCACCCAACCCAGAATATTATATATTTGTATAGAATTGGGTTTATTATGGGCAGAGCATGCTGCATCAGGTTGTCCAATAATGTTGTGCTATTAGGCTTTGTTCCTGAATGCTTGGAACTCAGCTAAGTTTTAACTACACTGCCTAATGTTGACAGTGCTTCAAGATGAATGTTTTTTAACGGTATCATCTGTAAAACATTTTATTTGGGTTTTACAGACCCTATTTCATTAAGAAATTCTAGTAACTCCATATTCTGCCGCAAAAGCTTGAAATCTGTTAAGGGCAGGATAAAGAAGGCTTGCTCAGGGGAAAGTACTGTTTTGTCCCTCAGTAAGAAGTATCCTCTATCTGATACACTAATAAGCTCCTGAAAAATTGGACCTGCAACATGTTCAACTGATAATCATAAGAGTTTAGCAACATGATTCTCCAAAGACACTGTGCATGCTCCAGACCAAGGAGAAACACAAGTTTCATTGCAACAGTTTTTCAGCTCCCTCAAGGCCCTGTGAATCAAGACTCAAACTGAGAGCACACAGTATGTCTACCATGCCATCCATATCCTATGTGCTGATGTCCAGGAAACAAAAAAGGAGAAAAAAAAACCCGAAAGAACCCAAGAACTCAATAAGGTACCAAAGCAGAGTAATATAGCACAGCAATAAGGAAAAATACTAGGCTAAGACATGGATAATCACTGGTGGAGGGCTTTAAAGGAAGAGAAAAGGCACAGAGACAGAATATAATCATCAGAACAATGATTCCCAGAGAGAGATGAAAGTGCATTTCAAAATGGCACAGTTCTGGCAACTCTACTTCTTTCTGATTACACCTCCCTCACTAAAAAAAGAAAGAAGTAGGACCAGGTCAGCCTCTCATCTCTTCAAGGAGTTCAACTAAAACACATTTGGTGCAGTTGTGCTCCTTTTGCACCAAAAAATAGCAGCCAGAGTCTGGGGCATGAAGAAACAGCAGCCTGGCAAAAAGTGCAAAGGCAGAAAGAGAAAGCAGCTGTGAGGCCAGAAACTGGAACCAGTGCACTTTAGTACACTTGCCCACAGAGGCTGCTGCTGCACCCATTCTATCGTTTCTCTGTTGTCAGCAGGTGGCTTTGAAACCCGTCAACAAAATATTATCTCATCTACCTCTAGCACAAGTTAACACACATTACGAGTCACTGTTAGCTCAGATGCCAGAGTCCTATACTGTAAAAGTCCTAAATTCGCTGCTGACCCAATCTATCTCTCAATATATTCCAGAAGACAGAGAATTTCTACCTTAATTTTGGTCTGTTATATGCCTGCATTATGCAATTGCCTTTAACTGCAGAATGCTTTTTTTGTTGTTGTTTCCACAGAACAGCTGTGAAATCCTAGGCACTGCACAGTATGGAAACACTCTAAGAATGAATAGAAGTTTTCTACCAAATGAGCCAGCTATCTGTGAAACCATTTTCTCTTTTGTTATGGAAGTTTATCAGAGCCTAATGGCTGAGACAGGAAACTACAAAATAAGGAAGAGTCTGACATTTGAAACAACCAATTGATACTTTAGGGTGTGGCAATGTCTTTGATAGAGAGTATCACACATGAAGCTGGATAAGGTGAATTCCTTCAATCAAAACGTTCACAGCTGGCCACTATTTGTCATTCTTTTTCTTTGGTGCCCAAGACAAAGTAAAAATGCAAAACACCAAGTACTTCCAAATTTACAAAATCAAAGCAGTGCTAAATTATGCCGCTACAACTTCCTCGAAGATGCAAGGGGCAAGATCAGAGTCTCTGAAAAATTAAACTGGAAAATCTAAATGTTGGTGTCTCAAGTTGGCCACTGAAATGGACCAAAAAAAAAAATCTTTAAAAAACCATTACATTGATTATTTAATTAAGGGACTGTTTTGTGATAAGCATGAAAAGGATTGTTGAATTAAGGCTAAATAAACTTAATTGCAACACTTTGTAATTTTTTAAGTGCTTACTTTTTTTGCAAAATTTTCTTTTTTAATATACTTTTATACATAGGTCTATATATTTTCTCATGAACAATTACCAAGTTAAACCAATAAAAATTTAATCATGTACTGAGTAGTCACAAACCTACAGTCTTGTCCTCTGCACAAACTCACAATATGCACTTCTATTAGTTGTGGGCAGATACTTGTTTTGAAAATAGTATTTTAATACAATTGCAACTTACCAGCATAATCCTGAACATTCACATTTCCACCAGCTTTTATTATGTTACGTACAAGGTCTACATCTTGACGAGCAACAGCTCTGTGCAGTAAGGTCTCACCACAAATATTCCTCCTATTGATTGTTGAAAGTGAAATGGGGCAAACAGGATTTATAGCATTCCTACCAAAGGCTTCTTGTCCTGAAAAATAACGTAAAAGATGTGTTGAACAGAAAAATATCTTTCCTCTCTTATTTTGGCTTCACTTTGCTTTACAGTTAGTAAATAAGCTTTCTGGAGAAAAAAAGCTCATTCAATCTTGTACAAACGAGTATCTCAAAAAAACCACATTACCAATTAAGTAATAATATTCAATAAAAGATGCCATAGTGAATTCTGACACAAACTCCAACTGAAGTTCAACACACAGGAATATGACTTTGTAAAAGTGTGTTTAGACTTTTTCCTTTTTAACGACATTCTTGCAAAGTGCATTGTTTCTCACTGGATGATAAAACTGCTATTCTAGGTTACAATTCATTACAAGATGGGTGTTTCAATAGCTAGTCAGTTATTCAATAATTTCTTTTTTCTTAAAAGTCAAATTTATCAGCAGTTCTTGTGTACTCATTTACGTTTTAAAACCTCCGCTTCATGAGCAGGGAGTATTTACACTAGGACAGTGATTGAGATGAGCTCCCTCAGATTACTCTTCCCCATTACTTCACCACCAGCTCAGCCATTCCTGCAATGAGCAAAAGGTGAACAGTTGCTTGGGAATATGAGGCCTAAATGTAAAAAATAAAACATAAAAGATACTATTTCAAATTTTTAGTTTATTGTTTTACAAAACAAATGCTATCTCCCATTATGCACTCATTAGTTTTCAGCTTGGGTGAAATTATTTCCAATATACAGGTGAGCTGTTCTGTACTTCACCAGCAGTGCCATCCCAGCATCCCTTCATACTGTGGAGAAAAGCATCCTGGCTACTGCCTCTTCTGAAGAACAGGGAGGGAAGAAGGAAGGGAGGAAGGGAAGGACAGAAGGATCACCTCCAGGAAAGCACAATGCATGGCGTAGGCCATTAATTGATCTACTAATGAAAAACCTTGGGACAACAGGCTATACACACTGCTCCTCTCCTCAAGCTGTAGCAGATGTGGCTCACTGGCGCTACAAATCCACCTGGGTGTCAGAAATAGACATTTTAAGTATGACCTTAAAACACATTGTTCTCCTAGAGCTGTAACTCACAAAGCCTGATGTCTCTGCTGTTTTGTGCATGGTGATATACTGTGAGCTCAGATTAATCCCAACCTTCTTAAGTTCTTGACTCTGTGTAGATTTTCAGAATCTAATGGATACATGTTTACCCTGGACCTTCCCTCAGCTGAGCACATGGGCAGTCCCTCTCCTCTATCCTGTCCAGCCTTGCAAGACCTTAATCATTTAAGATACTGCAGTGCCTAGTCAAAGCTGGTCTAAACTAGCCAAGCAGTTCAGGAGGGATTAAACTGCACAGACATACACAGAACAAGGTGCAGTTTTATGTTACCCCAATTTAACTTGTTACTTCAAGAGGACCTATTTGCTGACACTTTCACCCTGTCTTCCCTAGCACCTTCCTTGTGTCTGACCTTGTGTGAAACAAGCGATGCTTGCTGATCCAAACCGAAACTTCTTGTGGGGCCATTTTTTCAGTGAATTACCAAACTAAGATGACTCACAGACTCTTGATTGTTAGGTCTGATGCAAAAGGCAGGTAAACTTGCTAGATTGGATTAACATGAAGCTACCTCTATAGGCAGGGCAACTCTTTCTGCAGAAATCACGCTAAAAAAACAACAGCTTGTTTTTTGAGTGGAAACTGGTAAGTTAATTTGAAATACATGAGCAGTTAGTCATGCAGCTTTAAATATCATAAGAACGGTGCATCCACTGGGAATAATTAAAATCCTGCAAAAGAGAAGGTTTGTTAATAGGAGGTAGAATTATTCATATTTTGTAAGATCTGTAATGTAGCTGTTACAGTTCAAATACTTCCAATCTTTGTAAGCTGTTTAAATGATTGTAAGAGCACAGATAAATCTAGACTGAGTGGGCTTAAACAAAAAAAAACCCTTTTAAGACCCCAATCTTAAAGGTGCTGGAGTGAGCACTTAAGTGAGGAAATTCTGTATTCCCCTACACACTTCCTCTGCGAGGCAAAGAATTTCTCTGCGTGCATCTTCAAAGGATGAAAAATGGCAATCCTTCCCTCTGACAAAGTATGTTGCAAGGAAAAATACTTCAAAGAGTGTTCTGTGACTGTGGTGGTGAAGGGCCTATAATCCTCTATTTAAAAGACAGGCTAACAACAGCAGGCATTCAAAATAGAATAAGCTGTTTTGTATAGGTCAATTCTTGGGGATGGCACTGCCCTCAGAATGACATTGCACACAGAATACTAGACTACAGAAGGATATAGAAATGTACATCAGGATCTACACTTTCACTCTGCATTAAAACACTTTTCTTCTGCTTTTCAGAATACACCATAATTTTTTCATATATAACACTGTGATAAAAGTTGCATCCTGAAAAAATTCTCATTATTCTTAAGGACTTTATGCAAACAAGTCAACTGTTAGGTTGCTAATATGTAGGCTTTAAACAAGTGAGGTAAATTATCAATAATTTTAATTATTAAAATGAACGTTGAAACCACCTTTTTAAAATAAATCCATGCCACAATATATTGGAAAGGTTACAAATTATATTTGATTCAGTATAGTTGTTTAAATAAAAAAATAGTCTGTACGATAAACATCAGAGAATATCTTACTCAGTTTGTTTTCGATTCTCTTGCTCCTTCTTCTCTGCTTAGCTTTTCTATCCTCATTTAGAGTTATTTCTTGGCATATGTTGGTTTCTAGATCCTGCTTGTCTTTAGAAGTAGATTTCTGAATTTTACTGACAAGAGATTTGCTTAGAATCAACAAAAATATTCTCTTCTCTACATAAATCGATGTTTATAGTAGAACTAAGAATGTGAATATATTTGATTTTAAAAGGAAGTCTTTAATAGCATGGAAGTATATAGGCTAACTCAGGTAGTACTGAATAAAGAGTAGATCAGGAGAGAAACTAACTTCCAGATATCTAAATAAAAGGTAAAAAACTTTACCTTTTGGTAATTTAAATCATTCACTTGAGGAATGAGTACTCTGTATGCATTGTACTTGTTACATTAATTTAAAAAAAAAGAATTTAAGAATATTATGCACGATTTTGTCATACTCAAAATCCTTAGCTTTGTTTCTTGTTGTACTGCCACTGTGAGACATCCTCTGCTGAGTCTCTTCTAGTATTTTGTGATGACTGGAAACATGATCTCTGCCCTTTCTTGAGGTCTCTCTTAATTGCATCGCTTTCCTTGATGTTGTCTGGGCTGTTTCTGCACATGCTGCCGCCTCCACTGAATGTGAACTTCCCTCACCAGTTTGCTTGTCACCAGAGGTGGCAGCCCAGTAATCTGAAATTACTTCTTTCTCTCTCTGCTGACCACCCACAGGCTGTGACAAAAAATTAATATTACAAGCAACTGGTAAGCATGCAGTTAAAACAAGGGCTGTATATATAAGAGCTCCGAGAACATTGTCTTACAAATTATATGTGTGCTTACAGACAATGGAGGTGTTGCTTAAGTAAATAACTGGAATTCTACAGATATGAGAGACAGACTGCCATAGGAGGGGCACTCCTAAAGTAGTATGCCCTACCATGTGCCCCTGGCAGAATTAGCCAAGGGAGTTAGGATACTCAGAATCACAACTTAAATAAAAAAATCTAGGCTGGCTGACAGCGAACAAAAGTTGTTACTATCTGAAAGTTGTTTGGTCAGACATATGAAATGACTTAAAGATTCATTCATTTCCTATGGACACGAGCTCCTGTCCTAAAAAATAAAGTGATGTTTAAGATGTCTCAAGTTAGCTTATCTTATCTCACTCTTGCACAAGCCTAGAAACATGCACAAGATCAACAACCATGTTTCACCTGAGTTCAGTAACACTCAGCTGAGAAGTTATTTCTAAAGACATACCATCCCTGAGCTACAGCCACCACAGATGAGATTCACTTGACTTACCTTCAGCCTTCTAAAAGCAAGGCATCTAGAGGACACTAGGCATTCTTGTTACCCCTGCTGTTGGTGAAGAGGAACACCTACTTTCAGAGATGATGGTGATTCACCTTGTCCTAATTTGTGCAAAGGGGAACCTAAATAATTTATGTATACCAAAGGCTTAACTCTAACAGTAAGGGAGAGAAATCCCACCCTAAAGATATGTCATCACATGGCAGTTAATTTGAGTTACTTGAGTTTATTCCCTGTTTTAGTCAAGTCAGTGTGACATGCGGCTGAGTATCACTCAAGGTGCTGAAACCTGGGTACTCATTAGCTTCTTACACACTTGAGTAATGCTGAAAGCTCTTAGGACACATCCTCAGCACACATGCATACAAATTCTTTCATGGTGTGTGGGAGAACTTGTTAGTCCTTTCTTGGGACACAGATGGAAATACAGGATTCTCTGATTAATTTTTTTAATTGACATATTCAGCAGAGAGGCTAATGAAGAAGTGAACTGCATTCCTAGAAATGGTCCCTCTGTGTCAAGAGATGATGCATATTAACATGGCAGTTGGGGAAAACCAAGTATTTCAGATTACAAAACTATCAATGCAGTACTTTCCATGGCATCACATCTGCTACAGGAGGAGGGTTAGAGAAGAAGAAAACATTTCAAAGAGAAAAAAAAAGCCACTTGCTTTATAAGGAACCATATATATTAAAAAAATGGGCTATCCAGCATGCTGATGGCACCTACAAGACAGTACAGGCTCTCCTCTTTTGGGTACTTGTTTCACCACAACAAGGATACTCTGAAGAAACAAGGATGAGAAAAGACCAAGGTGACCAACATAGTGTTAGAACACAACAGTTACTAAAAAATTAACTGGGATTTTTCCCTCATTAAATTGCCTCCCTACTTTCTGCCCTCAAGAACAGCAGATGGAGGCACAAAAAAAGCTAAAATCAATTATTAATTGACAAGAGGTTATAGATCCCCATTCCCACAGGACCCTGCTTCACAATCTTAACTGCAATGCTGAGTAAATCTATACATTAAGCTTCACACAGCTGTGTTACAAATTTCAGAAATCAACACTTCACTGAAAGAGCTTTGTAAATTGCTATGATTCTAAGACAATCAGCCTAGAGACCTTTTGGCACCTTGAAATTAGCTACCTTTGTGGTACATTTTATTAGGTACAGTTCTATTCAGTTAATACTACTAGTGAAAGACAGAATTAACTCATAGTCTTTGGATGCTTTATGCCATTGTGGGGAAGCAAAGTGGCTGTAAAACCACCTTAAACAGCTAGTTATATGTGGCTGATCATTGATTTACAGCTCCAGGTTATTCAAAGACAAAACAGAGCAGAGTAGCTGATTCCAGGTTTACAAGGGATGTCTACTGCACTCTACAGCATAAACATACGTCT